AATCAACCAGTCATGTTTTGATTGGTTGATTCCTGGGTGAGACTAGTAACTATTACTACTACTATTACTAACTCCTAACTATTACTACTACTATTACTATTAATATTAGTAGTATAATAATTTTGTAGGTAGTTTGACCAGAGGAGGATGGGTCCCCCTTGTGAGCCTTGGTTCCTCCCAAGGTTTCTTCCCCAGCTCTGAGGGAGTTTTTCCTTGCCACTGTCGCCACTGGCTTGCTCACCTGGAGGATTTACATTTCATGTTTGTCCTTAATGGATTTCTGTGAAGCTGCTTTGTGACAACATCAGTTGTAAAAAGCGCTATACAAATAAATTTGACTTGACTTGACCTGACTATTGTGGGGAAGAAAAGGTCACTCTAGGATTCCTGGAAGTCCTAGATACCTCACTGACTGTTTAAATAAACTGTAGTCTTACCAGGCTTCAGATATGCATGGAAGGTAAAGTATGTTAATGTCTGTTAGAAGTAGAACCGTATGATTCTTGATTAAATGTGAACTTAATCTTCCTCAACATAGTTAATTTGGAAAGAGCAATGTGTACTTAGTAAATTCATACATAGTAAACGTTGCAACATGTGTAATAGCAGCTCCGACATCAATTCAAACAGCTATTACAAACATATAAATGCATTTGTATAATAGAACTTAAATAAATAAATAAAATTAATTACATAAATCCTGTTTGTAAAACAGACCAAACAGAAAGAGCTGTTCGACCTCAGGATGCACACATAGAATGTGTACATTTTTCTTTATAGTACTTGATGGAAGGGTTCTGAAGTGGCAAATTTTCAACATTCAGTTTTGGGGGACTTCAGTGCAAGTTGGAAAGTTAGTTTTGCTCTGGCTGTGCAATGGATATAAATATTGTGTGTGAAATGTTGCAGTTTTCTATTTGCGTAACTGCCTTAGGGTTTCCCCGATCAGTAACATGTAAGGGTGCAACTCTCTGACCTCGTAGTGATGCAATTTGATTACAATTCTTAAGGAATTATCCATTATCATGAAATATCAAATTTTGCCTTGATTAGATTCGATTTGATTATTTTGGTAAAATTCTGAATCATTTTAAAGAATATACTATGTAAATTTGACGCAAGGAACTATTTACATACTAGAGGAATGTAGACAACAAAAACAATGTTTGAAATATAGGCAATAAAAACAAAGTTTGATGATGTGATAAGTTGAACACATGCTTCATTGATAAATATTAGAATTGATCATAATTGATTGTAAGATTCTAAAATCGATGCAGTTGAATCACCACCTTCAGATGAATGCAATGTTACACCCATTTTTCTGGGTTATTCTTGTGCCAAATAATTCAGCATCATGCATGAACAGAGCATTTAAACACACAAACAAAGCACTCCACACAAGCAGAGTATAACCAAAACTCCATTAATTAAGTGGAAAGAACAAATAAGCGGTTGTAACGAACTAGCTGGGGTAATTGAATAATGACCCCATTAGCGGCTCAGGGCTGCTTAAGTGGCTAATTGTGCTCTTGCTCTCGTTACTGTGGGGGCGGCCTCAAACTTCAGATCTGAACGTAAAGCTCAACGGCTGGCGTAGAGAAGTTTTTGCTGAACACACCAACACATAAATACACTTTAACGCAGTGGCACATGCCTGCTTAAAGCAATATTCAGGTGAAAAATCTCATTCCCCTAGTAGTCAATCAGCCAAGACATGTCTGGTGTCTGAAGTTTGCTTCTTTCAGCACTGGAGCTATAAGGCTAATACAGCTAATAAGTGATGAAAGCACAGACCTCACCAATTAGCATGGTGCTAACTGCATGCTTAAACCATTGCATACTTGCTTCAAACCATGTCCAGTTGTTAAGTAATCTGAAATAGACTTGCTTATGTGGTTTTTGACACTGTATGACTGCTATCTGTACTGCTATCTGTTATTTGACCAGTGCTAACTGGCACAGTATAAGCTTCCATTACTTGTTAGTTACATTACCTTTGTAGCTCTAGTGTAAAACTAAAGAAGTTCTGTCAACAAACATGTCTTGGTTGATTGACTACGTTTAGGGTAATAGGAAAATTAATTTTTTGTCCAAACGACCACAATGCTGCTCATTTACAAAGGCTGTGATGAACTGTGATGGTGACTGTCCTTCTAAACTGGTTGCCGGCCTGTTTTGTGTACTGTTAACATCTTCTTTGTCTTTGATTATACCGAAGAGTTTTATATTTAGGCTACTTGCAGATATGCAATAGGTAATGTTTGCAATAGCCTATCACATCATGTGAGAGCACAAGTTTTCACGCAGCGGTTTAACTGCAGTAATATATTTTGGCCATTTTTTGCAGCAGTAGTGTTCAGTATACAGTTATGACTACACTGAAAAATAAAGTTGCTTAAAGGTTACTTTAAATGTATGTCATTCAGATTGACCCAATATGAGTGAAATATGTTACATCAACATAATTACTATATGTAAGTACTTAATATAACTTAAGTTGATGTAATATATTTTATTTGTGTGGAGCTGATGAACACATTTGAATCTTGCAAATTCAACAACTTTTCTTTCAGTGCAGACTACTAGCACAGTGATGGTGAATGTCGTTCTAAACTGGTTGCCGGCCTGTTTTGTGTACTGTTAACGTCTTCTTTGTCTTTGATTATATATAGTTATGTTCGATAAATGGCATAACTGCTAAGCTATGTTTGTCCATCATCATCCCTCCATTAGACCATATTACTGTTACTCTGGTCTAGATTATCATAAGGCTCAGCTCCAAGCTCCAGACGCCACCTGAAAAAGTCCCTTTCTTACTTGCGATTTTACTTCCATGTGCTGATGAATTTCACCTCCCACTCACAGCATGCTGGGAAAAGCTGGCTGGGGTAGAGGGGAAATTTGCATGTGCACAGTATTTTTAACAAATATCTATTGTTCTGCTGCAAATACAGTCTTAGAAATAAAGGCGATGGTGCTTCTTTGAAGAATCATTTTGGTAATTGACATGAAAAGTGAAATGTTGGTAATGTTGATTTGAACATTTAACATGATTTTTTTTGATGTGTTGTTTACTGTAATGTTCTTTAATGTTCATATGATCCATGTGGTTATTCTGACTCATAATTCAGTACGGAAAGTGTAGGGGGCGATATGGCTTCTATTGTTTCATTCTAAAAGCACTCTATAATGCTCATACCACACACACGGACATGTTGACAGATTGTAATACATCACAGGAAGTGTAGAGGGCGATATGGCTTCTGCTGTTTCATTTAAAAAGCATTCTGTAAAACTCTATAATGTTCATACGATGCCTGCGCTCTCTCAGACAGATTACAGTGCACTACAGGAAGTGTGAATTTGTAGAGTGTAATGTTTTATGCTAAGCTATTTTTCTGTAGGCATCACATCTGCATGCTAGCAGCATGCAATAAAACAATGCTAAACTTTTCATGTTTTCATTTTATATTCTGAACTGAAAAAATATTTTTTCTTGTTCTGTTTTTCCAGTAGTACTTTTTAAAAATGCAGATATTCAGATAGCAAATATGGTTTAAAAGCCCATTGCTACACCATTAGCCATCCGCTTTAAGTTCCATCAGCTGCAGAAAGAGACGTTAGCGCGTTCGTAAGCAGGTTGGAGTGATTTCGGTTCTGATCAGCGTACAGTAATTCCCTCCGTCGCACAAATAATCCCCCGGTGTGCTAATTGGTCACGGAGATTGCCAGGAACCTCAGTATTTTATGTGCTGACTGCCAAATGAGTTTGGAGAGAGAGAAGCAGGCGGTGGGGGTTGGTGGAGAGTTGGTGGGGGGTGTCTTTAGCTCGGATGGAGACGCTGTTCCTCTCTGCCGCAGATGGAGACGCTGTAATTAAACGCCTCATTGTCGCTCTTTGGGAATTGACGGCGAGTCGCTGCCGTGCGGTAATTATTATTTTGGTGCGTCTGCAAGTCCTCGGCTCCTCAGGTCTATGGCAGAGTGAATTAAATCGGCTCAAAATGGGATTCTGTTCGTGACTCGCGGCAGAAAATCGTTTCACTAAAACCTATATAGGGTTTTGCAAACCAGGTTTATAAAGACTCTTATCAGAATCACATTTTTGGCCACATACATTAACATGTACCTTAACACATATAGGAATTAATATGCATTTTTAAATGAATTTTCTATTTATATTTAAATAAAGATGAAAGTGCCAACCAGGTATAAATACTTAGTCTTACTTCTCCAACAGATGTTTTTCTGGCTCCTGTTGTGAGGTTGGCTTTACAGAATGCCCTCAAAAATTCCAATCAACCTAATGATGTTTTTGTCCTAATGCCTACATTTAGAGTGTGTTATTAATTTCAAGTTATATTTGTATGTGTGTGAAAGGTCACACTGTTCCAGTGTAGTTTGTTGTGTACTCGAGGTTTTTAGGGATAAACATCTCATTGTTAAATAGGCTATGTTGTTAGCTAAGTTAAGTGCAGTCTATTCCACCAGCTACTGCAAGAGATTTGCAATAATTTTGCCTGTTGAACTGCCATCTATACCAATATTGGAGGATGAACAGAAAGCATGATAATATGTAACTTAGCCTCAGGCCACATCAGTAAAGTCTAATAACTCGGTGACAGTGACAGAAGGAGAGACAAACAGAGGCTTAAATAGGTAGTGATGTTAAAACAGCACTGAACTTTCTGATATCAATCAATATTTCAATTACCCAACAACAGTGTGACCCTTCACATGTGTACAAATTAATAGCATTTAAAATTAATAACACACTCTAATTGTAGGTATTGTAATAGAAATACCTATAAAAATTGATTACAGTTTCTCATTAACTTAGCATTCTGTAAAGCTTGTCCATTTTTGCATCAGTAACTATTAAAGAACACATTTGTGGTCAGCAGCATACATTGTCACTGGTATCTGAACTATTTGCAAAGTGTCCATTTTCCTCGCCGTAGTAACGTGACTTTCTGCTTTCTCTGCTCTTCCTCTAGAGGACGCCGGTGAGTAATGGGGAAGCGTTCCGGTGGTTCTTTTAGGCCCAAACCCAGGAGACACCAGGCCATCTTCTGACTCTCTGCTAAAAACTCCTGTGGGGCTCCCAGAACGTGAAACCAAACCCCAGTAGTGGGCGAAAGAGAGAGAGAGAGAGAAATTGAGAGAGAGCCGAAGGGAAAAGATAAGCGACAAAATGGTGTTGGTTTAACTCTGTAATTTCTTTTCCTGTGTAATTATTGTACCTTTCGACAGTATCATAATGTATATTTTTCGGTGTCTATGAATGTGTTTCAGTGTCGTGGCTGTGCCAGTTACAGCCGTTCTTATGTAATGGACTCAGTAGACAATCATTACCACCTGGAATAAATAAACAATACCAATGGAGGCCAGCGGGGCGGCACCCATCCCCAACACCACCACACAGAGCTTTTAGACCTGCAGCAATAATCGGGAAGGTGATTATGCCTTGTTTTGTTCCGTAAAGTTTCTTTCTTGAGTGATTTTATCTGACCACAAAGTCCAGCGGCCTCCACTTCCTCCGAATTTCAGAATGGATGCAGTAGAAAAAACAGCCATTTTTTTCCCAGATTTTCTTAATTTAGGCACCATAATACGCTTAGATTTTTCTGTTATTTTTTCCAGACTGTTTATATTTTGGGTTTCATGATAAAAGGAAGAACATATTGTCTTACATGTTCCTAATTTTTGTAATGTAATATTCTGATTTACACTGGTTCGGTACTACTGACCATTTAAAGGGGAATTTCACAGATTTTTCTTTAATTTCTGCAAAATTAAATGTTAAGATGTGAACAAAAACATTCAGAGTGGTTTGATGTGAAACTCGATTCTAGAGAAGCAGAGTCAGAATTGTACACCGTGGTGGTGATAGGAACCAGATATCTGAAGAGTTTAATGCCTCTAAAAGTCCCTCACAGAAAGTCATTACAAGAAATGGTTACCCATTCAGCGTGAAGAGGTGCATGCAGTGCATAGTATTATATAGCAAAATACTTAATTGGTGAAATTCCCCTTCAATGATCATTTGTACTGCTTATTTTCTTATTTTTGTGTTGAAATGTTTTTTTTCCAACAAAAGCTGTCTTAAGGTAAATAGAGGTACCAGTAAAGAAATTCTCGTTAACAGTAAAACATCTGAATTCAGCATTTTCAAGCGTAAAGTGTCTGGGAAAGTCTCAACAGGAGAAATGAACGCATAAAGTAAATCTGCATTAGTCTATTAGAATAAGAGCAGATTGACACATTCCAACCTGGAGAATTCAATAATTACTCACAGTCATAAGCCCTAATGTTGCATGTGTAAATGTGTTTTTGGTTTTAAAGATTACTGAGAATTTGTATATTGTTGTTGTGATGCTTTTATGTGTTCAAATTAAAAAAGACAAAAAAGTGTGCAAAAAAAAATTTGATGTCATCGAATAATGGAATAATTTTTATTATTCTCACTTGTAAAATTAAACATTATGATCACCTGCGTGTGCGTCTCAGCCTCGATTTCACTTATAATGCAAACCATCCACACTAGAATATATCTACAAGGGAAATCACCTTAAATCTAGTCAATATATCAATTATTTCTCATTATCAGATTATCACAATATTATTTCTAGACATTAATTCATATCATGTTTGGAATAACTATTTTCAATACAGTTTTGCTGCAGAAGCGTTAGAAGTGTCCAGAATGATGAACAGAGCTGTGGAAGATTGCAAAACGACTGAGAAAGCTGTAGAAAACCAAGAATGAAGTTGCAATAAAATTAGTATTCAGACTAAAGTTCCAATGTCTAGAATATTATTATATGAGAAGTTAAAACTATTAATATGGCAAATGATTCCAGACTTGTGAATAGTAATTTACATTTTTCTGAAATGAATGTTGATGTAATTTGTGAACACTATAATTTGTGAATTTGTGATGTCACAAAAAACAACACATTTACTCATAAACATCAGTTACTCACTCATGCAGAAGTTACACAGAGCGTTTCAGCCTTGACTGCTTTTTGAATAGGACATAATATAGGGCAGCCAATGAAAACAACTCAGGCTTAAATGCACAAAAACAGCCTGTTTAATTGTAAGTGGTATGTGTAAAAATGAATTATGACATCTGATGCATAAACATACAAAAGAAAAAACAGGAAAAATGCAAGGTCCTTTAATTAGTCTATATTTCTATATGTGGAGAAATATCAAATTCCATATCTAGATAATTTAGTTCTCCTCATGCTTTATTTCTAAATAAATTATCTGCCAGTGGAAGATCATTTCTCTACTTCAGTAAAAATGTCTATAAATCAGTCAAATAATTGTGTACCATTTTTCATAATGAGAAATATATGTTGAGGTTTAAGAAGATTTCACTTGCAGGGATGTCACTTTTCTAAGTGATGAAGGCGAAGAGGGGGGGAGGAAGTAAAAGAGAAGTGAGAGAGAGGGAGTAAAGGCAGCAAAAGCATGCGCGCCGTCCTCAGCCTGGTTTTCCTGTGGAATACTAAAGCACAGGCTGGAGACGCCAGCGGCTCCCACAGGCACACGCCTTTAAAGAGAGAAACTCAAATCCCCCTGCGGTTCGTCACGCTGGAATAAACGAGGGGGGGTTAACCGAGACGAGCGAGATGCTCCAAGGATGGAGGAAGGGGAAGAGAAAGAAAGAGAGACAGAGAAGGGGAGAGAGAGAAAGAGAGAGAGAGAGAGAGAGAGAGAGAGAGAGAGAGGTTGTTTTCTGAATGATGTGAGGGGGGAAGGGGACAAAGAGGCCAGAAAGTGTGTTTGTGTGTGTGTGTGTGTGTGTGTGTGTGTGTGTGTGTCTGTGTGTGTGTGTGTCTGTGTGTGTGTACGAGAGCTGCCTGAGGGTGTTTGTGTGTAAATTGTGTGCATGTAACTGGGTATTTAGAATCAAAATAATACTACATACATATCATCACTGTCCAACGAAAAGCTTTACAGGAGAAGGCAAAAACATTCTGCTTTTTGTGCAAGTTAATCTAAAGAGGTTTAATTCCAACAGAAAATCTTTCCACAAATAATGTAGAACAAGGGAGAATTACAAAGATGGATGTACTATTTATTTATTTATTTATTTTAGTTTGGACAGTGACTATATGAAGGACTGAACATGTGCAGTGATTTGTGTTTGTGTGTGTGTGTGTGTGTACCAACTCATTAGTAGACTCATATTCAGTAATGAGATTTATAGGGCACATATCCTAAATCTTTCTGTATTTTATTTCTTCCAGCTCCACTTATAGCTTTTATATGGTTTTATGTACCAAAAACAGTCATAATTCATTTTTCTTTGCCATTTCTGAAGTCTCTTTACCCATTACAGTTAAACAGGCTATTTGTGTTACTGTGTCTTTAAGACTGATATGTAAAATATATCATATGTCATATCGCTGCTGTCTGAAGAAAATCTTTTTTTTTAAGTTTTTGACATAATTTGAAAATGCCTATTGCTCTTTACATTGTGTGTAAATTTAATGAAGAATGGACTAAAAGAAACGGCCCAAAATGACTTCGTAAAAAGTCTGGTTCCATTGACTTACATAAAAAGTAGTTACCATTTTGGAGATACGAGGGTTTCTTCTTACAACAGTGATATGTTCTAATTGGCTGTCCTATATTGTGTCTTGTTCAAAAAGCAGTGAAAATTGAAATGTGGAACAAACTGTTAAGTTGGGACTGAACTCCTCAGAGACACAGGAAAAAATTAAGTTTAGCTACTCCTTTCAGAAGTGTGGATTCTTTGGAAGGCTGCAATGATCCATTTGCTTCCGGACAGCAAGGATCAGGACAACATTTAATCATTTTCCCACAATTTCCACTCTTCCACTAACTTCTACAAACTCTGCTACAGACCGTCTGCAGGAACAACAATTCAACAGGAATGGGAGGGGCTAAACTGCTGTAGGGGGACAGAATGGGGCTAAACTGCCATAGGTTGAATAGGTGGGGCAAAACTGCTGTAAGCTAAATAGGTGGTCATATGCAGTCATAGTCATAGTCATATGAACTATTTTCATGGTTGTGATGTAACAACCATGGTCAATTCAAATTCTGGACATTTTTCAATTGGACAAAGTACTAAAATCTCTGGCACCATTGGCCATCAATCCAGTGCTGAAGGGCTTGGAGTTATGATGTTAAAATAAACATTGACGTCCCTGAAAAAGACGTCGTCTAGAAGGCAGAACATGGTGCTCAAAATGTGTTCAGAGTTAATTGTGCCTTCAGATGTTACCCAATAATAGCTCCCATACCATGAAAAACCCTAGCTTTTGAACTTTACGCTGATAACAGTCTGGATGGTCCTTTACTTCTTTTGCCTGGAGAACATGATGTCCATGTTTCCATCTGAAATGTTGACTCATCTGACCACAAAACATGTTTTCAACTGTATACCAGTCCATTTCAGATGAACCCTGAGAAGTCGGCAGAAGTTCTTAAAATTGTTAATATTGGCTTGGGAAAGTGACAAGCCTTGACCCATCCTCACTCATAAAATACTCAGCCTTTTATACCTAAGCATGATTGCATTTCCTGTTTAGGATGTTTCTTGAACATTTCAAATTGTTCCTAGTCTAAAATGCCCATCTCAACTTTTTTGCAACATGTTGCAGGCATCAGTTTAAGAATGAGTATATGTCTATAAAAATCAATGAAGTTGATAAGATGAAACATCACATATCTTTTACTGTTTTCATTCAAATACAGGTTACAGTAGACTTTTAAATCACTGTTTTCTGTGAAAAGAAAAGCAGAAAATGATGTGGAGAAGAGGACGTGAAGGAAGATGAGTAGCAAGGTGTTTGAGGTTGTGTTGGGGCCGATGGCAAGTTGATAAAAGCATCAGGAATGCACAGGACACTCGGATTAGAGAACATCAGAGACACCATAAGCCTCCACACACACACACACATGCAACAGTTTGGTGAAAAATCATCCCCCCCCTTAGCCCAAATGTAGTCAATCAGCCAAGACATGTTTGGTGTCTTAAGTTTTCTTCTGTTGTTTTTGCATTGGAGCTACGAGGCTAATGTAGCTAACAAATAATGGAAGTTTACACCAATTCCCCATTGATGCTCTGCCCAAAAATGTGTTCTTTCATAACTACTGTGAGGTTGGGCAAGCTCTATAGAATGCTGTTGTGTAATTAAATGACCTGTAGCTTATGCATCATGGTGAAAATGTATAGTTGGTGGACTTGTAATACCAATACTCAAAATTCAGAGAACTATCCAGGGAAAGTTTTCCTATCTTTCCCATTTCCCAGCCAAAGGCCCCCTGGAACACTCTGTTAAAAATAAAACTCTACAGAAGATTACATTAAAAGCTCAACATAAAACAAATTAACAAGTAGGCCTACTGCTGTGTGTTTGAGAGACTATAACATAACCGTTAGAGTTGTGTGATTGGCCATTTACACAGTAAACAGCAATGTTAACTTACGCTACATAGCTAGGTGCTGTATTTGTCTTTTGCTGTCGCTAGGCAGAGATGAGGCCATAAGGAGAGCTAGAGGTGAGGATTTTAGGTGGGTTTGTACGGTGAGGTAAAAGTATATTTTTATAAGGTGAGATAAAGGTGAGGCTATAAGTTGAGGTAGAGGTAGTTTGTGTGGTGACTTATAGGTGAAGCTATAACATGAGGAAGAAGTGAGGCTGTAAAGTAAGGCTAGAAGGTGAGGTAAAGGTGAGGCTTTAAAATGAGATAATGA